ATGAAAAATGATTTATTCTCATTTTGCAAGATAAAATAATAATAATGATGATGATGATGATAATATACATTATATAAAAACATAAAAATAAACAAATTTTATATTTAACATTATAAAATTTATCAAAACAAAAACAAAAAACTTAAAATCACCACCACGCTGAAAACGAAGCCTAAAATAATGACCATAATTGAAAACTTTCAACTCCTCGGCGTTGTAGTCAGAGTTCAATTATGCGAAGAGAAGGCCGACAGAAGGGTTATAATGCTAATGGGGCCGAAGCCTGTCATGCCTCCGTTTGATTCCTGGTTCTGAGAAACGACGTAACTGATTCAAAAGTCCCCAAGTTCATAGGACTATAATTTTTAAGTCCCTATATTTAAAAGATATCATTTAAGTCTTTAAAATCAAACAAGAGTACTTTAATGTAAAGCATTAGGGTTTAGTGATTGTAATACTAGAGATTAGATTATATTTTAGGGTTTAAGATTTAAGGTGTTAGAATTTAAAATTTTTAGGGTTTAAATTTTTTAAAATTAAATATTTATTATGTTAATTAGGGCTCAAAACTTTTAGGGTTTAATATTTAGGAGGTTAAAGTTTAGATTTTTTTTTTTGAATTAAGTGTTTAGGGTGTTAGGGTTTAGCATTTTAGAATTAGGGTTTAAATTTGTTGAATTCTATATTTTATGATATTGGGATTTAAGCAGATTTTTTGGGTTATATATTTTATAATATTTATATATTTTTTAAAATTTAGTGTATAATGTGTTAGAATTTATATTTTCAAGATTTAAGATTTAAAATTTAATGTTTAAAAGTTTAAGTGTTCAATAATTTAAAAATTAAAATTATAGGACCAAAAAGTGCAATTTAAAATTTTAAATTTAAGAAGGAAAAAAAAAAAACCTATAGGGGACCAATCGGTTTGGAGACCAATCGGTCCCTATGGCATTACCCTATTATTATTATTATTCTGTTTTCTCCTCTACTCCAATTGGTCCCTAAGAGGTTCTTAATAGAAATGTGAGAAAAAGAAAAGGTTAGAGACCTGATTGAAATAAACCTAAAAGGTTTGGTCTAGTAAATAAATAAAGGTCATGACCCGACTTCAAATACCCATAAAAGGTATATCATTCAATTTTAAATTTTAAATAGGGTAAATTCATTTACCAAAAAAAAAAAAAAAAAGAAGATGAAGTAACTATCAGATTTAGCCCTTAACTTTTATTATAAATATTAAATATTGCCTTAACCTTTTATTTATTAAGAAAATGATCCTAACATTTTCAAAATTATCAAATTTAATTATATGGTTATTGTCATTTTGAGAGTTCCAATAAAAAATTTTCCATAATTTTTTTTTCTAATTTGCATTGCTCTAAAATTAAAATTTTGCTAAGATTTGAATTCTTTAAACACCTTAACTTTTTTTAAATTTGGGATTTTTTTTTTTTTGCAAATAAAGGATTTATGTATGTGTTATGTATTGTAATCCTATAATTTAAAATGAATTTTTATTTTATATTTTTTAATATATTGAAACAATCTAGTCAAAACTTCTCATTAATCCAACAACTTTTTGACTTAAGGTCTACGTGCTTTTAAAGGCTTAAATTTAAATTATTAGTAGTAATTAATTTCTACACTTATATATTAACCACACTCACGCTTATATTTTGAGGTAAAATTGTAATTAAAAAATATTTAAGTCATGAAATTTATTATATTATTAAACTAGTAAGTTATGTAAAAAAAATTTAGAATTGAAGTAGGAAATTTGCATTAAGAAGAACTAGAAAAAAAAAGAAGAAGAAGAAGAAAGAAACATGATATTTGGAGTTTTCATTAAAAAATGAAACAGGTTCAGAAATGTTAAATATATATATATATATATTTGGTTTTGGTAAAAAGAATGATTTATTTATTTTTTATCTTTTTGTTTATAGTTTTTGGTAGGTTTCTAAAATTTTAAGTAGAATTTTTTTAAAAAATTCAAGGAAGTGACCAACAGTAGGATTGAGGTTGCTATATATATATATATAATGGGAGGTAAGCCTTTTTTATCTTTTACTCTATTCCAATCGTATACTATGTAATTTGAACTCATAATTGTTTACTTCCAATAAAAAAATATTATTATTAAATTATTTAGGTCATTAGTCATGCAAGGTTATTGATTATAAAATCTTAAGTGATACTATATACCACTTTGGCCTCAAATTGGTTGTTCCATATAAAAGCAGATGACGTGTCTCATTATTAACATGATACGTAACCATTAAATAACGATTTTTTTACGATTAAGTAACAGATATGTCAATTGTTTTTAAATAGAAGGACCAACTTGGGGCCTAAATGGTAAATGGTTGAGGCCAAATTATGGATTTTTTTTAGTTTATAGACTAAATCGAGGGTTCGTATAATAGTTAAGGGATCAAATTGGAGATTTAATCTAATTTTTTTTCTTTCTCTTAAAAGATAAATACATCTCAACAACCAGTAAGTGGGTTTGAAAATGCTACCATTTGGGATCATTTATAGTTTAAATGAAAGGTTAAGATAATATCTAGTATTTATAATAAATGTTAGGAACTAAATTAGGTATTTATTTTTGGATTTTTCTAACATATACTTAAGGTATAAGTTACGCTACCTTTTTTTCATTATAAATTTATATAAAAATGTAAAATT